AAAAGGAGCGCAAAAGAAAGTATTGAAAGCATATATCTATGTAGTAAGTCGATCTAGGCAGTAACCGCCGAGAACCAGAACTAAAATAGCGAAAAAATCATGCGAACTTTCCACTGTTATAAATCTGGTGGTTGAAGATGTCAGCAATTGCGTCTTCATAGGTTTTAAAGTGTAAGTGTTGTTCTACCCAGTGGAAGAATCAGGTCGATCTAAGCAGTGACCGCCGAGAACGAGGATTTAAAAAAATTAAGCGATTTTAGGTTACTTAGTGACAGCTGACGTTCAGACTCCTATAAATCTGGAATGTGAAAGTGTGCAATGTTGCGACTTCATAGTTTTTGTAGGGTGAGAATTGCTCTATCGGACTATGCCTTAGCCGTACCGATCCATCAAGATATCGCCGATATTCAGGCTCTTGAAAAACAGGTGAAAAACCGCTTTTTGAATTTCAACAGCTCATAGCTTCTTCAGAATTGCATAAATCATGTTGCGACTTCATAGGTTAGATTCTTCTTATCAAGAGCTTTCAGATGATTTATGATATGTGGGGGTTTCGCGCCTCTTACGGTATAGGCCCGGGGGTGGAGACTTTTCACCCCAAAGTCTCCACTGGCGGTCTCCGGCCAATACATTAACATGAGCGAGGTGGAGACTTTGGGGTGAAAAGTCTCCACCCTGGGTTAGAGCCGCAAAAATCATTAAACCCCCCACATGTTATATATCATCTGAAAGCTCTTGATGAGGAGAATCTAACCTTTAAAGTCTCAACATGATTCATGCAATTCTGAAGAAGTTATGAGCTGTTGAAATTCAAAAAGCGGTTTTTAACCTGTTTTTTTAAGAGCCTGAATCTCGGCGTTATCTTGATGGATCGGTACGGCTATGGCATAGTCCGATAGAGCAATTCTCACTCTACAAAAACTAGAAGTCGCAACATTGCATACTTTCACATTCCAGATTTATAGGAGTCTGAACGTCAGCTGTCACTAAGTAACCTAAGAATTAAATTTTTTAAAATCCCCGTTCTCGGCGGTCACTGCTCAGATCGACCTGATTCTTCCACTGTTTGGTAGAACAACACTTACACTTTAAAACCTATGAAAACGCGATTGCTGACATCTTCAACCGCAAGATTTATAAAAGTGGAAATTCCGCATAATTTATCGTTATTTTATTATTCAAAGTTCTGGTTCTCGGCGGTTGCTGCCTGGATCGACCTACTTCCTTCGCAGTGCGTTATAACAAAATTTAATTGATAAAATCTGTAAAGTCTCGATGACTTTCACTTCAAAACACACCATTTACTAAACAGGTTTATTTTAAATATACATATATGCCGCCGTATACATAAAAATATGCTTTCAATAATCTTTTTTGCGTTTGTTTTGCTTATCTTTCGCGCACTGGCTGGCGGCAAGGACCTGGAAATATAGGCTCAGTCGACGTTAACGCTCCCCCCCCCGGTCGATGTTTTTGGGAGGTGAGTGTCCGGCACTACCACCTTCACTTTTGGCCGGCCAGTAATAGCTGGAACCACCTTCACTTTTGGGCGGCGCGGCTCCACCTATCGCACCTCTGCTTTCCTGCCGAGAAAATGGCTCTCAAACTTACACGCGCAGGCCAATCTTATACGCTCCCGGACGAGTTGGCAATTTTCTCCTCAGCATTGGAGGCTTCCCGCCGCAATGCTATAACCATTGGGTCCCGCAACGATTTAGCATCATCAGCCTTGCTCCGTCCAATTCGAAGAGAAGGGCATTGAAAAACGCTCGTTTTAGCCGTTTTCAAGCTCGCAGAAAAGGATTTTTGGGATCAGCGTATTGAATAACCCCAGGTAAGCGAAAATCTGACTAGGTTGAGATTTGCCGAGCCACTGTTTTTAATATCTGCCAATTTTTTCCAACCTTATTCGGTTTTGCATATATACTCGAATGCTTCTGTGATTTTATGTAAATTTATTTATAAACACTTCATTGATCTATTAATTTGCAATCATCAACTTCGGCTTATTGCGATTCTGTATGATACCTGCATAAAACAATACATCGTGCCATTTGCTTTCTCATTATAACTATCTCGCTGTCTACGTCTCTTAGCATCTAGAAAGTCTAGAGGAATTTCCACATCAAAGGAATTATGCCATAGTAAAAAGCGAAAACCTAGTATTGGAAAGGAAAACCTAGTATCAAAAAGGAAACTTGATATGGAAAAAGATCGCGAATCAAATGCGAAAGCCGCAAAGTGCTGCGGAACTCCAAACAAAGTACTGCGGAAACCCTGCAACCCGAGATTGCAGGGTTTTCGCAGCGCTTTGGATTTCCGCCGGGTCACCTGCGGAAATCCTGCGAAAGCGCTGCGGAAGTTCTGGTCGGTTGTCTGAGTCGCTACCTTAGAGATTTTTTGCGAATTGGTATATTTTGAATAAAGGAGTCGCAGTTGTAGTGGAGGATGAGACGGTTTAGATCGCCGTACGCGATTTGCCAGTTACGAGATGTCTTCAAATATAACGCCAGCTTACCACAAATGTTAAGCGTGTACAACTTGCTAAAAAGATAAATGCCCTGCATTCTATACTTCTAGAATAAGTTTTGATCAAAATTTATATCGACTGCTTTTTTAGATCGTCCAATAATGGATAAAATATGACTTCTTGCTGATGTATAGACTAGTTGCCAACCGACCAACTTCGTCGATTTTTTGGACACGTTTGAGCTGCGGGGCTGGGAGTTGGTACAGGGGGGTAAGTGAGGGCGCTGATTATGAATCAAGTACTTTGTCGATTTTGTCGATTTTTGGAAAATCTCGAGCTACGAGGTTGGAAGTTGGTACAGGGGAGAGGGGGGAGGGGTAAATGAGGATGCTGATTATGAACAAAGATTTACTTTATCCATTTTGTCGATTTTTGGAAAATCTCGAACTGCGAGTTGGGAGTTGGTACGGGGGGGGGGGGATAAATGAGGATGCTCATTAAAACCGAAGTCTGTTTTATCGATTTCAGCGATTTTTGGAAAATTTTGAGCTAGGAATTGGTTCAGGGGATTCAAGGGTGCTGATTATGAATGGATCAACTTTAGCAAGATATGTCGGCAAGTTTGAGATAAGGTTGCTCTAGTTATTCGATAAATCATTCGAATATTTATTCGAAATTCGACTTCTACTGTTCGAATATATTCGATATTTATTCACTCGATATTTTTGATTTTCCGAATTTATTCGGAATTCATTCATTCGAGTATTTTTTGAACCTCGAATTTATTTGATATTCGTTTATTCGAGATTTTTTTTTTCGCATTTATTCGATATTCGTTTATTCGAAATTTTTCGTTTTCGAATTTATCCGATATTCATTCATTCGATGAAAAATTTTCGAATTACCCAAGTATACTCTCGAGCGGTCGGCTTCAACTGAGTATTACTATCAATCGATCAAGCCGTTTCATCAACTCACGAGAAGAAGACCACACCACGCATAGAGGACTGGTGGCCTCGAAGTAACCCGGATATGTGCTTCTGTAAAGTCGCAGGGCTTCTTTGATACTTGTATTGTTGCCCATTGTGTCTTCTAGTCCTTCTTAGTCGATTTGTCTGCGTTTACTTGGTGTTTTGCTGTCTTGGTAGTTTCGTGTCGGGACCACGCGATCGGGGGCGTGCACTTCTTCTCGGGCTGCTATATAAGGGTACCAGAACCTGCTAATCGCGATTAACGCTGTGATAAATGTTCACAAAAGCCTTAACATAGAAAACAATAAGGTATCATTGTATGTCTACACCGTCACCACGAATTACGGACATACTGTATATCAAAAGATTCGTCTCATCAAGCTGAAGCCGTATCTTCTTGCAGAATTCATAAAAAAATTGTTTTAAAAGAAGTTATAGCTAAATCCCTCTTATCCCGCGAATCCCGCGAATCCCGCGAATCCCGACAATCCCGCAGTTTTGGACAAATTCTACCGCTGCAACTGTAGCTAGTGCCCAAATGTGATGGCGAGCCCCAGGTGGCGATAGTGAGAATGGGAGTCAACGCCTCAGGCTACCAACTTGGCTAGGTGAGTTGGAAGCTCAGGGCCTCTAACAGTCGACGCATATCGTGTGGCAGGTACAATGGCATTCACTGCAAGCTTCGCTACCGGTCCCAAGCGACGTTGGACCTTTTCACGGAGAGGACCTCCGGCTCCTACCGCCGATGAACGGGAGCCTCAACACCACTGACGTTAGGAGCTGGGGGCCCATTCCGTGACACTATACAAAAATCTCGCTAACCAAATTTTGGTGAGACACTGCCTTTAACACATTAACGACAACATTGTGACCTACATGGTGGGTCATGCATCAACCGCCACGTGGGACAACGTGACCGATATTGTGGGTCACGACTTGAACTTTGTTAAAATGATTACAATTAATGGGCATATATTCGTTTCATGAGGTCTTTCAAGCACTGACTCTAGAGGATAATTTGACGTTTCTTGACTGCTTTTTAGAGTTTGTGTAGGTGATAGAAAGAAACCCGCGCGATTTTACTAGAAGTTTTTGAAAATAATTTGTGGAAGGCATTGTCTCACAAGGCAGACGACTGAAAATGTGCATTATCTTTAATGTGTTGAAGGATAACACCCACACTCTCATGTACAGATCTTAGTTTCCTTTGAATGGTGGCTTTCCCAAACCAATCATATTAGGTTAGATAGCCAAGTATCTATCTAGCTCTGGATCAAAGTTTGTTTAGCAGCTGAAGCATTGCAAGCGTGACCCAACGTTGAAACTAGCTTGCAATAACGAGCAAGCCAATCAGCAACTAGCTCAAAATCTAGCAAAGAATGCACTCTGGACGTTATTTATGAACACTACGAAAATGCCATGATCAAATAACTCTATGGCACAGATGTGAATTTAATCCAGTCTCATCTCTCTTCTCTACTTGTTGCGCGAAGTCTCTACAAATAGCAGACCATCAATGTTGGTTGCTCTTTTTCAGATACTTGACATTGTGCATCTGCTTAGTATGACAATAGCGTGAAGTGAATAGCAAATATGACGGAAATGGAGAATAGCAGTGGCAAGGGTCTTAGCCAGTAACTTTTCCTGACCTCGTTTATGTTGTTCGTGATGCATTTGCTGCAATTCAGTGAACTAAGCCGTAGGTGATGGTATCGTGTTTGATTGATGTGTTGCTGAATATATACAGGATTACTGGGAAAAACAGCAAGATGTTCACATACCTCCCAAGTAGCTATGAACTCATCACCAGGCGAAAGACCCAGTTGCAGTCTTCTTGCAAGCTTCCCTCCAACGTTGAATTGAGGTGCATAGTATGGCATATCGATGACTATATGTTTCGTGTAGTTGCTTAAAAATTCTCATGCCTTTGAAACCTTCGTGAAACAAATTTGATTAGTGAACGCTCTTTCATGATCAAGACCCTTAACCAAAAAGTAACGGGAAATATCTGAGGAGGAAATGAGAAGTGAGCACTTTCGCGTGACTATCGATATCGTGAATTTGAATTTTCTGTCTTTTAGCAGACCTTTCTCCTCTGCACACGAACATAGAAATACCTGATAAAGTCAAGGTTCTCTTGAAATTCCTTGCGGATTTGATCTTTGCTAAGATCTTTAACAGGAGCGTTAAAAGGAGCGTACCTCAACAGAAATTTCATAAACGTGCGGTTTTCATGCAGGAATTTTGTGAGCAAACTTACAAGCTAAAATGCATATGCAGTACAATGTCTGGCTTTTCATGTTGCACAACTTTCCTTGTTGCCTTTGTGAAATCTGCACACCAATTCGATAAAGATGGGCATCCTATCAAATAAAAATGTTTTAGTGAGCTATGGGTATAAAACTCCATCAAAAAAGTAGTTACAGAAACTTTGCCAAAACGAACCGCTTTTTGCATAAAGCCTGAGGCTACGATAGCGTCCTTTGAGTATGTTGTGAATCAATGGGTATGCTCTATAAGCAATAGAGTTTCCAAGAACCAAGACCTTGGCAGTGGCATTTCCTTTCTGAATACAGGGTGTCCCAAAAAAATGTTAACACTGTTTGATCGTTAATAACTCCCTTGCTTTCAAGTCTTTCGCCGAGCTTTAGGTACCATTTTGTAGAGCGAGGATAAACTTAGATTTGCAGTATCGAGCGAACCATCTAACTCTTCTCGTTACGTAGAATTACGGTAGGAATTTTGACAAGGATTTTAGGCCACTAAAGGCCATGTTCTGCTTCGAAACAGAGCCAAACAAACTGAAATCTCTTTTACTATGGTAATGAAGGTTGCTGATTTCGGATATGAAATTTTTACTTCATTATGATACTTCTTTTCAAAGTTATCCTAGGTAAAGTGTAATAACTGACTTCCCAGCATGTGTCAAAAATGTGATTACACCTCAAAAAAGCTGAAAACACTTGTAAAAAGTAGTGTAGTAAAATCAGCGTGCGCGAAAACCCCAGTACACGATTTTTCAGATTTTTTGAATAAAATTTTGTCAGAGGGCATCTTTCACGACGGTTCCACATGTTGCAATTTCCTACCGTAATTCTACAGTAACGAGGAGCGTTGGATGACTCGCTCGATACTGTAAATCTAAGTTTATCCTCGCTCTGCAAAATGGTACCTAAAGCTCGGCGAAAGACTTGAAAGCAAGAGAGTTATTAACGATCAAACAGTGTTAACTTTTTTTGGGACACCATGTAGATTAAAGAATGATCAAAGTTACTAGAGAGATTACGCCTAAGCCCTTACTACTTACTAACTCAAGTTCCTTAAAGCGTCAACAGGCGCAGCGCAACTAATTGGTATTAATGGAATATGTTTTCTATGTGAAAAACTGATTGCGTTTTCAGCACAGCATAAATTTATTTGTGAGAGGTTTAAAATCCAGAAACACGGCTTACGAAAGATGGATAGTTTTTTATACACCCATTAACAATTTGAAAAAATCATCAACTACTTTCGAGAAGCCCAAAAACATCTTTATACTAAGCTTTTAAACATGAACATATGATATGCGTTTTAGTTGTAAAGTTGAATTACGTTTCGAGATACATGTGTTCAAAAGCCTCTTTTGTGCTTTACCATTGGTGGCAAGAAAACTGTTTATGACACTCATTTTACTTCGTCTCTCGAAGCACACAAGCATTGGAAGCAACACCAAAGACTTTCATAAAAATTAGAAAAATGACGGGATCACGGTCAAGAAAAGGAGTTTTTGACACTTTTCTTGCCGAGCACTGAGCAACCCTCGCACTCAGCTCACCGCAACGCAACGCGTTTGAGGCTCTTTTTTGTAATTCGTATAGCGCTGAGTGTCGCCGTCTTTACCGCACGGCATCGCGAAATATCCTTTACGAGATTCTCTCAAATTCCAATCAATAGCGTAGTCAATTTCTAAAAAAGTTCAATTAGTAAAGCTGTCGAAATATTCTTCAATCTGTGTGCAGTACTTGAGATGTTTGGATTGATGCTTTCGAATGGAGGCGCGTAAAGATACATAGACTTAGTGCCAAGAATGCACGCATAGAAGGCAATCACGCAAAGACAAGCCGTTATAACTCCATTCTTTTCAAAAAACTTCTGCAAACACTTTCATTATGAATATCGTGCATCCAAAATACGAGTGGATAAAAAAGTCCTAACTTCAAAAGTGTGGTGAATCGCTACCGACAGCATGAAGCTAGCGAAAAGTACAATCGCCACGCCTTAAATATGTTTATGTTTTTTCTATTCTGAGATTTAAGTAAACGGGCATACCCCTTTTTGACAAAGTATTGAAACTCTAAAATAAAACATTGTTACTTTTTGAACTCAGCGCTTGAGAATCCACAGAATATCGGGCTGCCGCAATAATCGGCCAGTGAACGAGATACAGAACGTAGGATATGTCTCCACAATAAACTATGAACCCGTTTGTCAGAGAGAACGCATTTGTACCGAGATAAACCATTAAGCCAGCCATTAACGTCGAACATATCCTGTGCATAAGTTAGGAACTTGATTATGAAGCAAATATGCTTGACAGTGAATTTTCTGTTATGTGAATTATGCTTGAAAGCTGACATACCTGGCTGTATCATCGGAGACATACTTTGGGCTAATAACCACTGTCACGACCAAAACAAGCAACAAAACATTCGTGAGTGAAGATCCACTAGAGAAACCCGCATTCGGCACTAAATGCGTCTATGACTAAAAGTGCACTGATTGCATCAAAACCGTCAAATAAGATAATCTTGTCAAAACTGCTGCTTTTGCCGTTCCACTTTTCCAGGTAAGCTAGTAATTGGCCCCTTCAGCGCCTTTTGAACGATTGCCTTACTCTTACACACTTTGCTCTAACATTCCCGCCGAAAGTCGTAGGCACCAAATGCAGATTGTGTAGATACTGTTCTGTAGAATTTGTCATATAAAAACTTCCAAGACTTATGTGATGCATTACACTTTTTGAATTATTGTCTCATTGAATGCAATAACGATGCAGAGCCATGAAGCGTAAAGGAGCATATACGGGTGTCTCATTGTCAAGAGCATGTATACACTCAATAATCATAAACCTTGTCACAACGTTTCTTTACGCTGATACAGATAGATCTTTCTTATATATAAACTGGAAACATCCGGCGAGACGACGAAAACTACACATGGTTCACCCACCCTGACGACCCCCTTCAGCGTTGCGGAGGGCGAGTTGTTGACACTGTGAGCGCGCGAGACATCACACCCTCTCGCAGAGGTTACAGACGATGAGAATTTTAGAGGAGCAGTGTACTCCGAACCGCAAACAAGCTAGAGAGGAGAGGGTTGTCTCGGGGTTTCACTATTGATCGCACCCTACACCGCATGCAATGACGGCACGTGTTTTAACTTTGCCTGCGATGACGAATTGTTTGTGATGAAATACCGTATGCTCGGTTTGATCGCAGCCTTTACAGCTGGAGCAATCTCTACTGTTAACATACTACGTTTTACGTCTCCTCTAATTTTCATGTCTTTAGCTACGTTCCACCTTTATTCTAAAGTCCCTTGCCCCCCTCCTGGCCATTTCGCATAATAGTTTGATATGATATCTGAACATTGCCAACTCTCCTTAGAATAGTCGTCAGAACTCTACATTCCGTGAAATGCTGACGAAACTCTTAACCCGAAGAGCAATTGAACAGCAAAAAATTGCATAGTTTGCAGGCCCTCTCCTTGGCTGACCAGTTTTTGGAACGAAAACTTTTGTTTTCCACCACAATTTCCACCAAAAACGGCAAAATTTCGATTTCGACAGAATTTCAGGCGCGGAAAATATCTTTGCTCCCGGAAAGAAGACCCAGCGGAAGCAGTTTTTAGCGGAAATTGTGGGAAAAAACAAAACTTTTCGCTCCAGAAACTGGTGAGCCACAGAGAGATTCTCCCCTAGCTCATCCAGCGAGACCACAGCTGCTATGCTGGGTTTTTTTTCCGGGGGCAAAGGCATTTTCTGTGGCTGAAATTCTGTCGAAATCGAGGTTTTTACAGTTTTTAGTGGAAATTGTGGGGAAAAACAAAACTTTTCGCTCCAGAAACTGGTGAGCCACAGAGAGAGCCTCCCCTAGCTCATCCAGCGAGACCACAGCTGCTATGCTGGGTCTTTTTTCCAAGGGCAAAGGCATTTTCTGTGGCTGAAATTTTGTCGAAATCGAGGTTTTTACAGTTTTAGTGGAAATTGTGGGAAAAACAAAACTTTTCGCTCCAGAAACTGGAGAGCCACAGAGAGATCCTCCCCCCTTTTTCCCACAATTTCCACCAAAAACCGTAAAAACCTCGATTTTGAAAGAATTTCAGCCACAGAAAATGCCTTTGCCCCGGAAAAAAGACCCAGCATAGCAGCTGTGGTCTCGCTGGATTAGCTAGGGGAGGATCTCTCTGTGGCTCACCAGTTTCTGGAGCGAAAAGTTTTGTTTTTTCCACAATTTCCACTAAAAACTGTAAAAACCTCGATTTCGACAGAATTTCAGCCACAGAAAATGCCTTTGCCCCGGAAAAAAGACCCAGCATAGCAGCTGTGGTCTCGCTGGATTAGCTAGGGGAGGCTCTCTCTGTGGCTCACCAGTTTCTGGAGCGAGTCTCGCTCGTTGAGCTCCGGCAGGCCTTCTATGTGGCTGATTAGTTTTTGGAACGAAAAATTTTGTTTTCCCCCACATTTTCCACCAAAAACGGTAAAAATCTCGATTTCGACAGATTTTCAGCTACAGAAAATACCTTTGCTCCCGGAAAGAAGACCCAGCACGGAAGCTGTGGTCTCTCTGGTTGAGCTCCGGCAGGCCTTCTATGTGGCTGACCAGTTTTTGAAACGAAAAGTTTTGTTTTCCCCCACAATTTCCACCAAAAACGGTAAAAATCTCGATTTCGACAGAATTTCAGCCACAGAAAATACCTTTGCTCTCGGAAAGAAGACCCAGCGGAAGCTGTGGTCTCTCTGGTTGAGCTCCGGTAGGCCTTCTATGTGGCTGACCAGTTTTTGAAACGAAAAGTTTTGTTTTCCCCCACAACTTCCACCAAAAACGGTAAAAATCTCGATTTCCACGGAATTTACGCCCATTGCCCACGGCCTCCCACCACCTCGGCTTTTGTCAGACCCTGGGACTTTTAATCTAATGTTTGGTTTTCAACGGCCAATCATCTTTCCTTTGAAGTCCTTTATTTTGCCCTTGCTCCCGAGATGAAGACCCAGCGTGCTTCTGCATTGGTAAGCCTTTTAGGGAAGCGATCATGTTGATTTTAACTAAGCAACGAAAGAAGCAAGCTGTGTTAAATAACTGAATTCTGGTGGTGGCATTTGGAAGGAAAGATCTGATATTTTTTGCTCTACCTGCAAAGTTTGATTTGTTATTTATTTAGCTTCTCTAGAGAGGAGATGCGAACACCGTTTATAATTATATGCAGTCCCATCTAACAAGGGACTGGTCAGAAGTCGAAGTGGCCAAATTAAACAAGCTGTATATCATTAGATGCAGTATAAAACGCTGACTTTGAATCTTTCTTCCTTATTTGCTTATCGCTTCTGTGGACGAAGCTACAAGCAGTTTTACTGTGAGAAAATCATACATAAAAACAGCGAAATTGAGCACATTGTTGCACTTTTAGCTTAGCTTCTGGCTTTAAAAATTTGAAGTAACTTAGCTGCATATTTTGGCTCAGCATTAATTCGAGCGTGGCTCTGTACGGCTAAATTTTCACTTTCACGCATAATTTCTTAGCAAAATAATGGCCTTTAATGGCCTATAGCTTCGTCCAGGAAAGCGATAAGCAGGTAAAGAAAACAGATTTAGAGCCAGCGCTTCATGCTGCATCTAATGGTAAGCAGCTTGTCTGGATTGGCTACTTCGAATTTTGGCCATTCCCTTGTAAGCAAAAACTAATGTATCTGCCCGACCCACTTACAGCGGCCCGTAGGGCCGCTAGTCGAATATAAATTACGACCAAGAAATAGTTGTCTTCTAATTTTACCGGTTCCAAGTATTCATCTTGCCTATTCAATTCGATTTTGGGGCTAACTTCTCGTACATTTATTCATAATCTGTTCTTCTTCAGTCATTGCTTGCATGTTTAAAAACCCTTAAACTCACATTTGGCTTAGCCACTGCTTGTTCTACAAGTGCTGCTACTATATATGTATGTATCTTGTCCTACAGGAGCGTGCGGGCCATTTTGACCGAGTGGGCGGGGTTTCCAACGGAGAGGGCGGGTCGGCCAGAAGGGATGGTCGGCCGCCAACGAAGCTCGATGCACTTTGACCGAACTCAATCGAGCGATTGGGCACGGCAATACACTATATAGAAGGTGCTGGGTTCGGGTTGTAGATGCTCTCCTTGTAGACGACGCTGGCGGCAGAAACCATGTCAGAGTGCAAAAATGGGGTCTTCTCGGCTCGGCGGCAGGTTTAATTACCCAACTTTTTGAAAAGAAATTTGGGCATAGTTTGTTTCTGTATGTGTATGTGTTTGGGGGCCATCGCTCCCAAAGTGCGCCATCGCACACACTTGGGTGCCATGGCGTACAGTAGATAAGTGTTGTGTGCCATTGCTCCCTTTGGGGGCCATGGGACACATGGGGAGCGATGGCGCTCAACGTGGATCTTGCGACTAAGCGTAGCTAAGCAACCAAGATTTTGCTAATAGATGCTTGTTCAAAACCCTTCCTTGGGATGCAAATTTGAGCTAAATCAGACCAAGCTGAAGCGAGTTATGATTTTTCATAAAAAATTAAATTTTATCTTCATAATTCGAAAAAGCATGTATGAGCAATTTAGAAAAACCTGGAAAGTTTTCAGAACGCTCTAGAAACGTCATTTGCTTACTCCTTTGAGAAAAAACTCTGAAAACTCCGCTGTCCAGTGATAATATCATTTTATCACTTATCGTTGATAAAATAATATATTCGGATCACTTTTGGTGTAACGTAAGCAAACCATCGTAGGAGAAGCTGTGCAAGTTTTTAGCCGCGATCCTCACTTTGAAGCGATTCATGAG